GCAGCAATGAAGGAATGAAAACCCAAAATCCCTGTAAATGTTCATTAAAACTAATAAAATTTAATTAAAAAAAAACAAACAAATAAATGGATAGAAAAACTGTGGTATAGTCACACAATTGAATATTATGCAACACTGTAAAACAATAAACTCTTAAACCATTACACAACACAGAGGGGGGCTGGAAGACATTTTGAGTAAAATATTTCAGTTACAAAAGGACACATATGCATAACATTGCTGTTATAAAACAGAACAGACATGTGGATGTTAGGGAAAGAATGGAAAAGAGTGCATAGATAATGAATACTGCATTAGATCAGATGAGGGGAAGAACTGTCCAAAAAGAATACATGATTAGGTATTATATCTATGAAAACATGTGGAACAAGGGGTGCATTACAGGGAGGGTTGGGGAGAAGAAAATGTGTAACAATGAAAAATATTAAAACATTTTTTATGCTAAAAAAAGAAATTAATCTTCCAAGATATTGAAACCCCAATGAAAGACAAGGGAAGCTTTGATGGCTTAGTAGTAAATAGTAGTAAGGAACTACACTGCCAAGCCAAAGGCACATAGTTCAAATCCACCACCTGCTCCACAAGAGAAAGATGGGCAATCTCCTCCCATGCAATTTACTGCCTCTGAAAACCTGGTGGTGGGTTTGCTTTGGATTGATTCTGACCTAATGATAAATAAATAACATAAAGTATAAACCCTATGTAGTTACACACATGAAGTCACCTGCATCAGAATCAAATCCATGACAATTGGTTGGTGGTTGTTTTTTCTTGCTTTCCTCTTGTAGAAAAGTGGAAGACATTCACACAGAAGGTTTTTTTAAAAAATGGAATCTGAATGATTACTTAATTTAAATTATCTCCCACTCAAGGATATTTCTACAACTGGTATAAATTTATTACTAGTTACTAATAATAGGTTTTCAGAGTCCTGTTGTTTCAGAAGTGGATGGTCAATCATTCTTCCTAACCTGTCTTACTCTAGGAGCTGTGTTGCAACCTCTCTACCATGGGTGGCCCTTGTGGTACCTATCTACTGGTGGCACAGATTCCACCATTTGAGTACCTCAAATTACACTACTATAGCACACGGACAGACAAGTGCTGTGCAGTCATTCTCCAGTAACAGATTATACAACCTCGCTTGCTGAAAGTGAAGAGGATATAAAATGCTTGATACAGAAGATCAAGGGCTACAGACTTCAGTATAGATTAATGTTAGGATCAAGAAAGCAAAGGTCCTCACTACAGGACCACCAGTCAACATTATAACAGATAGAAAAAGATTGGGAGCTGTCCGTGATTTTATCTTGCTTAGATCAGCAATCAGCAACATTGGTACCAGCAGTCAGGAAATCAGAAGACATGCTGCAATAGGCAAGTTCTCTGTCAGGAACCTCTCCAAAATGCTAAAGAGCAATGATGTCAGGTTGAAGACTAAGGTGAGCCTGATTCAGGCAATGGTCTTCTCAATTAGCTGGTATGTATCAGAGATATGGACAATGAATAAGGATGACAGAAGAACTGATACCTTGGGGATTTGGTGCTGGAGAAGAGCACTGAATATCCCATGGACTGCCAAAAGAACAAATAGATACGTCGTGGAGAAGGAAGATGGACACTGTGCTTGAAAGGGGGGAGGGACAACAAAAGAGAGGAAGATCCTCAACCAAGTGGGTTGACACAGTGACTGTTGCAATGGATTTAAATGTGTTAGAGTCTGTGGGAAAGGCATGGGATAGGACAGGGTTCAGATTTGTTGTTCATAGGGTCACTATGACTTGTACTCAACTGAAAGGTACCTAACAAAAACAACGTCATTCAAGATGTTGCCCAGAAAATCCTTCAGTATTGCAACTTGTGGCCTGAAATTGTTCTTCAGTTCTTTCAGCTTGAGAAATGCCAAGTGTTTTCTTCCCTTTGAGTTTTCCACCTCTTTGTATACTTCATTACAATACTTGTCTTCTCACGCTTTCCTTTGAGATCTTACTTCAGCATTTCTATGCTTTGGCTTCTTTACACTGGAACTTTCAGAGTCTCTTCTACCATTTATATTGGTCTTTTCTCTCTCTCATCTCATGTAACAGCCTTTTGCTGTCATCATGGAAGTCATTTCACAAGTCCTCTAGTCTCCAGTTATTAATGTTCAATGAGTCAAATCATTCTTGAGATGGTTCTTAAATTCAGCGGGGACAAACTCAATGTGATAATCTGGGTTTTCTGGATTTGTTTCCATTTTCTTCACCTTCAATTTGAACTTGTTAATGAACAGTCAGCTCTAAGTCTGGTTTAGACTGCTGATACTGAGCTCTTCCAGGGACTTTTCTGACTGACATAGTCAATCTGTATATCCTGGCCAACAGGTGAGGTATATACATGCTGCTTGTAGGGCTGGCAAGTTAAGTACAACTCACAGTAACCCTATGAAAAACAGACCTGAACCCTGTCCTATCCTGTGCCATCCACACTGTCTCTGACAACCTTGAGCCCATTGCTGCAGACACTGTGTCAATCCACCTTATTGATAGTTTTCCTCTTTCGCTGACCCTCTACTTTTTCAATCATGCTAGGCCTTTCCTAGGAATAACTTCTCCTAGCAACATGTCCAAGTATGAGAGACAAAGCTTCACCATATTTGCCTCCAAGGAGCACTCTGGCTGCATCTTTTCCAAGATTTATCTCTTTCTTCTTTTGTCAACTCACTGGATATTTACTACTCTTCTCCAACACCACATTTCAAAGGTATCAATTCTTCTTCTGCCATCCTTATTCACGATCTACCTCTTGGATGCATAGCAAGCAACTGGGAAGACCACAGCCTGAATCAGGTGCACCTTAGACATCAAAATGACATCACTACTAAGTATTTTAGAGAGGTCCCAGACAATGGACTCATCCAACGCAATATATCTCCTGGTCTCCTGACTTTTAGTTCCAAAGGTATTGATTACTGATCCAAGTAAGACAAAAATCACTGACAACTTCAACCTTTCTCCATTTATAATGATGTTGTCTGTTACCAGTAGTGAGGACTATGTGTACAGGTGTATATTAACAATAGGTATTAACAATCAATCATTAATTGTACAGAATTCTGTCATTTGATTCCCCAGCTTCATGTCTGTCACCAAGTCTCACTTTCCAACTACTAGTCCCTCTTTGTTTCCAACTGTTGCATTCCAGTCACTAATGACTATTAATTCATCTATTATTCAACTATTAATCAATCAATTTCAGACTGCAAAAGTTAGTACAAGTCCTCAAAATTTCTTTATCTTTTAGAGACTAGTGGAAATATTTGAATAATAGTTTCATTAAGAGGTCTTCCTTGTATGTGTATGTATAGTATCCTATCACTTACAGCATTGTACTTCAGGACAGATCCTATAATGTTCTTTTTTGACTATGAATGCAATATTCTTCTTCTTAAATTGATCACTGTTTTACAATAGGTCTGAATTTAATCAGATCTTTTATGATTTTCCTCAGGGTATTTAGGTTTAATCTTGATTTATCTAAGTTTTGTGATATGTTCCACTGCTGTCTGAATACTTTACTCAAATTTCCTAACAGAAGACAGTGGGTTGGGTTTTCTACCTCACACATAATACATTATATAAGATATTAAGTTGAGGTTTTGCAAAACCACACATCTTATACATTATTTCCACAAAAATATGGTAATGATCATATTTTCCTGATTAGTTTTTGTTGTTGTTGACTGTCTTCAAGTCGAGCACGACTCATAGCGACCCTATATGAACAAAAGGCCTGAAACCCCTCTACAACTATCGACATTTATCAGCGTTCATAGTTTCCAGAGGCATGTTATTTAGGAAGTGGATGCCACTCCTGCTTCCAAATAGTTCACATTTAATGAGTATATTATTTGTATGTATGAAATAATTTAATATTAATAACCACCCAATTAGATACTGATTATTACTACCATCATTTTATAGATCTGTGTAAAGAGGTACAGAAAAGTAACATTTCCAATGTCACATGGTAAGTAAGGGAAAAAACTGGGATTCACACCCAGTCTTGCTCTGCTTAAATACCACACTATATTACTATTTACAATATTTAAAAGGTTCAGAATTTATCATAAAGTACATCTCCTAAAATTTACCACTGAAAAATTATCAAGGCAAGTTAAAAAACATTAATGACAATAAAACTTATAGGAAGACATTTCATAGCTATTTCGAAGGCCATTGTTATGATTAAGAGTTTTGAAACTGGACAGACCTGGCTCTGAATCTTGACTGTGGCCTTTACAAGTTTTGTGATTTTGGACAAGTTTCCTCACTTCACCAAGTCTCAGTTTCCTCATCTGTAAAATGAGAATAATAAACATCTCACAAAGTTGTCAATAACACAATTATTACTACATTGCACTGATATGGTCATGCCAATGAAAACACAGGTATGCAAAATAAAAAGGAAAGGAGGATCTCAACTTCCTCCCAAGACACTAGGATGCTGCTCTAAAGCACTTGTAGCATCTATAAAACTTACATGCTAATGCAGAGCCATAATTTCCCTTAATATGTTACAGTGAATTATCCTGGACACAAATCCACTGCCTATAGGTAAATAATTGGATTTTCAATTACACACATAGGAAGAGAGAAAAGCATTGTTTGATGAGAACAACTCCCACAAATCTCACTCTATCCATGTAACATTCAAGGGTCTGAAAAGAGGAAGAAAGAACTGGGTATGCCATTGAAGTCAGGTGAATAATGGTCCTTGAGGTCACTAGATGCCAAGTGAAGATTATTCAGAACAACCTGCAGGATCATCATTTGTTAAATGCAAAGTCATATATGCATCCTCCTTTTAAATGTAAACAGAAATAGAAAATTCTATGTTGAAAAAAAAATTCTATGTTACTTGTTTTAAAATCTACTGAGTGAATAGTAGTAGATTCTATAGAATGTTAAGAATTTATTTGGTTTAAAATTTGTTTTTCTTTTATTTTATACATTTTTGTTGCCCCACAGAAAATATACATACACCTGGTAATACAGTAAATTACTAAAAATTTACAATCTAGAACTGAGATTTTTCTTTTTAACAGTAAAATTACCACGAAGAAATTGTCTATTCAGTTTGCATATTAAAGAGCTCCAATTTGTGGACAAGATTACACAAGCAAAAATAAGCTAGACAATGCTATTTGAAGCTAAAAGAACAAACTTCGGAAGTTCTTTGCTCCGAGTAACTTCTATAGGAAGTACAATCATCTAAGTCAGTATTATCAGGGCTACAGAAAAGTTGTTGTTGTGTGCTGTTAAGTTGGAGCCAATCCACACCTGATCCTATGAGAAGTTTTCAGACCCAGTAAATTGGACAGGAGGAGACCATCTATCCCTCTCTTGCAAAAGAGCTAGAAGATTTGAACTGTGTGCCTTTAGGACTGCAGTGCAGAGCTTCTTAACCCTAGAAATCACAAGAATTCCCTAAAAATAATCTCTAACGTCTAGATTCTCACAGTCAAAGAAAGGAATAAAAAAAAATACCATGTTGTAAATAAGGAGCTCTGGTGACAACAGTGCATTATGTGTTGTCCTGCTAATCAAAAAGTTCAGCAGTTCGAGTCTAACAGCTGCTCCAAGAGAGAATGTCTCTGCCCACAAAGCCTTGGAAAACTTGATGGGGGGTTGCTAAGTCAGAATCAACTTGATGGCAGTGCATTTGGTTTGGAGGTTATATTCTGAATGCTTTAAGGGAGTCACAAATTAGTATATGTTGAGGATGGGATGTATAACTCTGTAAGAAATACAGCATTTGAAATGAATCTTAAATACAGCATTTGACAACTTTAAGCTTCTGAATATTAAAACTATTTAAATATATAGCAACAGATACACAGATCAATAGTACAGAACTGAGCCCCGAGAAATAATAAACCCATCCACCAATGGATAGCTGAGTTCTGACAAAGAGATTAAATTAAAAAAAGGGAAAGAGAGCCTTTTAAACTAATGGTGATGGCAAAATTAGATAACTATGTACAGAAAATTGAAATCTATACTTCACACAATATAAAATAAATAACTCAAGATGGATTAAGAATGTAGGTATGAAACCTAAAACTATAATGATCATAAAAGAAAAGACATTGTGGCAAACTTGGGAGCCCTGGTCTATGACACAAAAAACTAATAAAAACTAAAATGCACAATAAGCGGAAGATAAACTAGATTGAGACTTCCCCAAAATGAAACCTTTATGTACACCAAAAGACTTCTCCAAAAGTGTAAGAAGAGAACATAAAAACTGGGGGGAAATATATGGCAATGGCATATCTAGCAAAATTTATAGAAAACTCCCAATACCTCAACACACAACTCAATTATCAAACTGGGAGTAGAGGACATTAAAAAAACACTTCATCAAAGACATTCATCCTAACAATAAGAGCAGAATTCAGTAAGACAATAAATAAGAAATGCATATAAGGGTGTGGAAATATTGAAACTTTCTTACAATACTAGTGAAAAGGTAAATTAGTATACCCAGGACGCTTTAGACCCTTCCTCAGAAACTTGGGAGTAGAAACAGCACTTGATTAATCAGTTGCACAACTAGGTAAATAAGAAATAAGAGATGCTATGTGAAATAATAGTCGCACCCTCAAGGTCACTGCAGCATAATCTACAACTGCAAAGAGGTGGAAAGAATCCAACTGTTCATCAATGAATGAATGGCTAAATAAATTATTGCACATTCACAAATTTGAGTATTATGTAACACTGTCATCATTATGTGCCGTTGAGTCTCTTGCGACTTATTGTGACCCTATGTACAACAGCCCTAACCCTGCTCTATCCTGCACCAACTGCACTGCCTCTGACACACCCATCCTGATTACTCCAGTCACTGAATCAATCCACCTCATAGAGGGTCTTCCCCTTTCACGTCGTCCCTCCACTCTCCCACGCATGATGTCCCTCTCCAAGGACCTGTCCCTCCTTACAACATGTCCAAAGTATGTCAGACGAAGCCCCATGAGATGAAGTCGTTCTTTTTGGCAGTCCATGATATAGTCAAAAGTCTGCTAACATCACAATTGATACTATTTAGAATTTTATATTAAGGAAGCTCTGGTGGCCTCGTGGCAAGAAGGTACACTGCAATCCTGAAGGCGCAGTTCGAATCCACTAGATGCTCCACTGGAGAAGGAAGGGCAATCGCCTCCTGTGCCAGTCGGATCTGATTCTATGGTACACAAGAGGGGGTAATGGAATTTTTTTAATGGTACACAAGGAGGGGGAAATGGAATTTTATATTAAAAATAAAACCAACTTGAAAGGGGAATGGGAAGGGAGAGAGGGCAGTAAAAACTAGAAAACCGATAACAGGGCACATATTTGAGTGAGTGAAGAGAAAGACAATTTCCAAAAATAGATGAGATGATCAGCATAGTACCACTTTAAAAAAAGGAAGATTCAAAGAGGTACAGAAGATTAATGGAAATCAAAATTATACACAGAGGACGTGGGAAAGTATAGTCACATTGTGGATACTGAATTAATGTTACAGAACAAAATGTGTGCATGAGTGATTGGATGAAAAATTAGTTTTGTAAACATTTACCCTGTCTGCTGGCACTTTGACCTGCCAAGCCTCTAGGTAGCATTCACTTGCGGGGTGGGGGTTGCTGAAGTCCGCTGGCCCCTCTCTACCCTTCTGAAAATTCCTATTCCATGCAGATGGGGACTTCAGCAACCCTCACCCTGCAGAGAAATGAGACCTAGATTTCTGGCAGGTCAAGGCAGTGCTGGAAACCTTTGGGGTCCTCTGACCTGTGGCCCTCGGGCCAGGAAAACAATCTGTACACCAGATCTACAGGACACATCACCCTCACTTGGTAAAGTTACCTACAGGGGGTGGAAGGGAGTTTCTATAAACTTTCATTAAAACGAATTTTTTAAAAAACCCTGTAAAATATGACAGCTATGGGAATATGATTTTCTAAAATGGTGAACAAACTCTTAGTGGAGTTCTAAGCAAAACAAAGTACATTTTTGCCTCAAGAGTTAACATTCCTGGAAAATTTGGAGCCTATAAATGTAGAGATGACAAAATTAAGGGAAGAAATGCTAGAGTAAGAAGGATGAACAAAATCTGGAGAAAACTCAAAGGGAAAAACATGCTTGGCATTTACAAAACTGAAAGAATTAATGAATAAAGACAAGCCTTGAGTTGCAATACTGAATAATTCTATTGGCAACATCTTGAATGATGCAGGAATCATCAAAAGTAGGCAGAAGGAAAACAGTCACTACCAAAAAGAACTGGTTAATGCAGAACCATTTCAGGAAGTAACATATGATCAAGAACCAAGGGTAATGAAACAAGTCCAACTGCACTGAAGACACTGGAAAAAACAAGCCCAAAAGGACTCTAGGTTTCACGCAACATCATGATAGATTGGAAAAAAGATTGAAATTTTTCAAAAGATTTCATCTTAGTTGGCTCCACAATCAGCACTTTTGGAACCTGCAGTCAGGCGATCAGGAGACATATTACACTGAACAAGAATTGGGGGTTTTTTGTTTGTGTATTGTTTTTGAAAAAAATTATTAACTTTAATTAAAGTTTATAGAGACTTAGGGTTTCCAGTCATTCATTGTTGCACTTTTCTCCCTGCCCATCCCTTCCGCCCTCAATTCACTCTTCTCCATGAGAAGAAAACTCTTTCGTTGTTAAACAATCCCTCCCCTCCAAGTCCATGCCACTCTGCACCCTTCTGTCTGAACTTCTATAATGACACAAATAACCATTTAAACCCTTTTAAACAGCTCTCTCCCTCATCTGTTTCAAAGCAATATACCTCATACCTCCTCTCTTTCTCTGTCTTCCCTCAACCCTGATGTCAGTCCCATTTTACAACAGTGGCCCTATGCAGTATTTGTCCTTTTGTGACTGAGATATTTCAATCAGCATAATGTCCTCCAGAGTCATCCATTTTTACACAGTATTTCATGAGTTCCTTGTACAGTGGTTACGTTTAAGGCAGGTCCTTGTGCCAAAACAGCGCAAACTCCTAGAGGTATGCTCACGTGACCAGAACAAGAACTGTTTTAAGATGATGGGAGCATCTGATTTCTTTTCAAATTTTCACCCAATAGTTTGAACCTACAATTACTGTGTGAATTAAGTACTACCATAATCACTTTTCCTCTGTTATTCCCTGCTTTCAGCTAAAATCCATTTAACATTAGCTACAATATCCCTAGTACCACGACCCCTTCTAAACCCAGCCTGGACTTCTGGCAGTCTTCTGCAGATGTGCTGTTTTAGAAGTTTTTGGATAATCTT